AGGTCCCTTCCAATTCCTAAGATTCTGTGATCTCTACGTTTGTCCATATCCCTTCTGCAGACAGGTATATCCCCTGTGACTTTCTGCAGATTGGGTTTGGCAAGTATTTCTTTGAAGGACCAGTTATGAACCTGTGTTGGTTCTGCCACGTGATGGCGCTAAGGGTTGCTCACCGTGAGCAAAAAACAGAAATGCAAACACTTGTCGAGAAGTAGGTGTTGTAGTGTGCAGGGACCGCACATCCCCTTTGCTTTGGCGACAGCTCAGGGCTCATGTCCAAGAAGGAGAGTGCTGGGAGTGGTTTGCTGAGATGTGTGCTGGAAGCAGAGGAGATAAGCATGAGAAAGACAGCTTGTTGAAGTGATAAATGGTGCCTTTCAGAATGCAGCTTAAGTGTTGCTTGCAGCTAGGCTGTTAATGTATCCCTGGGCATCACGGTGCCCTGTTTAGTTAATTAAAGGGACAGCGATGAAAATCTTAGCTTAGCCTAATCTGACAGGACCAGTATTTCTGTTCCTTTGGGGAAAATTGGCATTTGGGGAGCTAAAATTTGGCTAGTAACATACTTAGTTGCAGAGTGGAGTGGCTGTTACCACTAGTGTATGAAAATGAGTGTTGGCCTTGATTGCAAATTTATTCTGTCAACAGGAAAGGTGCAGAGTTATAATTTGAAACTTATATTCTGTATTACTAACACATTAGTGCTGTGTTGTCCGCGTGCTTTGTGATGCTGTTGTTCATTAATTGACTCGCTACACAGCAGTGTTAGCAACCTGCCGAAGAAGAATTGGAGCCACCTGTTTATGAGCATAAATTCAGCATACTTGGTGTTCCTGAAACCTGACTGTAGCATTGACAGAAGTGGGTAATACATAGGAAGGACTCACAGTAGGTGGAAAGCATGTGTGTGTGTACAGGAGAGAGCAGCAGTGTCAGGTATCGCTGCTCATAGCAGTTGTTGGCAGCACTTTATGTAGGGGTGAGCATTCCAATGGACACCAGTGCCTACCACCAAATTGTGCCAGAGCTTCAGCAGCGTTCCTGCAGTTGTAAAGGGCTGGTAAAATTGTGTTTAATATTAGCACCTCTGGTGTGAGCGGTGGATGCTGCAGAGCTCACGCTGTCAATTCTGAGATGTCTGTAGAATGCCTTAAACTATCAGACTCAGAAAATGTTGCATCTCGTATTCAGGTGTATATTTTATAACAGCCCTCATCGTGAGAGGATGGAGAAAGGGAGCGCATGATAGAATTAAGCTAAAGGTTTCTTAGGTGCAAATTATTATGACGTAGTTGTCGCTCTGCCCTTTAGCCTGTTTAAATTAATGAACGTAATTGTGACTGGCCTCTTGAAAAGGTTAATGCTGTAGAGATGTGACAAACCACAGCAGGAACCAAGAGAGAGGCTTGACGCAAAGGTGCTAACCTGAATCTGGTGTTTGGGATGGTGAAGTTGTCCACGGTGCTTAGAAAATGTGTTCATAGTGCTCTCCTGTAGAGAGACAGATGAGAGGCTCTGTTTCAGGAATATGAAGCCTGCAGAGGTGGCTGTAAAGAAAAGTTGCAGAGGGCTAGAAGTCCCTCAAGGTTGAAGATGGTAGCTGACTTAATGCCTATTTGTGAGATTATACCAGTAAAGTGGATCAGAGACAAAGTTTGAATTCTTGGAGGAAGCTGAGCAAGTGACATTTTTGTCACTTTGGGCCTTTGCAAGGATATGGATGCAAGGAAGAGAAGTTACAAGAGATTATGATGTTGTGACACTGAAGAGGAGAAACGTAATGGGCATTGAAGAAATCACCAGATCACGCATATTGGCAAAGTGTAAACTTCATCTGGGATGAAGCTGAAGATCAAGGCTGTGGTTTCACAAGGATGTCAAACCAGAGATTTAGCCTTTCCAATCTCTGTGCTCTACTTGGTGCTTGGAGTGCTGTCTGCTGCTGCTGCTGAGAGGGACAAGTCTTTGCACCAGCACCTGTGCTTCATGAACTGGATCTCGTCTCTTCTCTGGTTGTCACTTCTCAGTGGAATAATTCTCTGCTCAGGCTTGCTCTGCAGCTGCAGAAGTGCTTATATAGCAGTCCTCTGTAGATTTTTAATTTCATGAATTTGCCTGCAGGAACGAATTGTTGTGGTTTAACCCCAGCTGGCAACTAAGCATGGCACAGCCGCTCACTCACACCCTGCTGGTGGGATGGGGAAGAGAATCAGAAGAATAAAAGTGAGAAAACTCATGGGTTGACGTAAATACAGT